TTCCCTCATATGTACAATGTTCTATGATTGTTCTGCTATTTTTAGTGTGAATTGCTTAGTTTTGTTGTTGTACTCATCTTTGTTTGAGAAAAACTTTGCTACTTGTTGGGAACAGAAAAATAAAAATAAAACTTAGCCTTAATCTTGCAAAAAGAATTGCGGAATTAGTTCTAAAAATCGAAGTCCTAGTCTTCCAGATCCTGAAGTATGTTTTCAGATAATAGACATTCTTTTCCCCCTCGAATAGTACTGTACCAACTGACATGTACGAAGGACGTGTGTAACCTGAGGAAAAACCGATTCTAAGTCTTGATATATTTGAAAACAGAAAGTTTTAGCTATAACCAAGACCGAAATCGGGCCGGAACTGGGACTGAAAAAAAGTAATTTTGCAAATCCCTACCTATATTACAACTACAATGGACAATTCCAGTTAAGGTATGTGAATGTGAAAGAAGTTTTTCATCCTTAAGAAAACTTAAAATATACATTCAAAATATAGCAGGTCAAGAAAGATTATCCAGTTTATCTTTAATGCGTATTGAACGTGACTTTGATATTGATTCAGATACTATTGTAACTGAATTTATATCAAAAATCAAGGATGAAAAAAAATATTTTGAACATCAATAAACTGATTATATGTGGGATGTGAAATAAAAAACTTACTATTATTATTGTCGCTGTAAAAAATTTATTGCTTCCCCTAGACACTTTAGCTTGCGCCGCCTATGCCAAGATCAATATTCAATTTGAATACAGATCAATATAATAGTCAATTACGAAAATCTCCATCTAGTCCTTTGTCTGTTTATCGAAAAACTCCTTCATCAACACATTTTTTTTCTAATCAGCCTTCTTCAGTCTTTCTTTCTTTATTATTCATTGATTTTTATCTTTCATTTCTATGTAAACTAGTTGAGCAAATTTATGTTTTTTTTTATTTAACAAAAATAATAAATTACCAATCAATGAATAGATGTCATTGAATGACGCAGAATAATTCATTGAAAATCTATCTCATTGGTAAAATATTCGTTTCTTAATAATCGTATTTTATTCTTTGAGTCAATTTGTCTTTCAGACTCGAGTTGACTATAAGTTTTACTTTTAAGTAGATTTGCTTTCATTTAGTCTTTTTAGAAATCATTTTAAACAAATTTATTGAAATTTTGTTTTGTATTGTTTTTCTATATAAAATAATTATAAATTAAGTATTGATTGGAATGAAATATATTCTATTTAGAATTAAATTAATGTAAATATGTTTTTTCGAGTAAAATTAGTTTTATTCTGTCTTTACTCAATTGTTTTAGAATTCATTTAAATAATAAAAAATATCGATATTCTTAATAAATAAGTGATAAATAACTTTCATTTTACCAATGATATATCTGATGAATGAAAACATCTATTAAATATTTTGATTAGTTTATAAATATCTATAGATGTGATTTGTCTTGTTTCCATTTTCTACAGAATAAAGATCTATTTTAATTCTTGTTTTCTTCTTATTATTTAGTATACAATTATCTTTCTTTCTTAGTTTATTGATTAATAACTTATTGATTAATGATCGATAATTAAACAATTTGTTTTATATGATGATTAGTTTTTAGCTTATAATAAAAACAGTAAATTTTTATTAAAATTATATATTTCTATTAATTCTTTTTTATTAAAAATTGTTCAAACATAACTGAGTGACAAAAATAAATAAATGAGATGAAAAATAAAATTCATAAAAAATATTTTATTGTCTTAAAAAAAATAAAATATGTTTTAAATATAATTTATTGTTTAAATAATGAAAATCATTTGGAATTAAATATTAAATTAAGTTCCTATCAAACCATAATTATATCGAATGTAGTTTAAATAATTAAATAAATTAAACATGATTTTCTTATGCAGTTTTCAAGGTAGCTAAAAATATTTCAGAAAACGAATTCAAGAAAGCTTTTCAGTAAAGGTTAGAAAGAACCCATGTGATAAAACCAGGAGAAAAACGGCAGTTTTACCGATATGGTTACCGGCTACTATCTGTAACCTTTAATATAATAAAATGAAAGTATCCTCTTATCTTTATATTTTTATTTAATTTTGACGTAACTTTTGGATAGCCCTGAGTAGATAAATTTCTATTTTTTAATAATAATACAGTCAAATGATTGTTATCTTTTCATCGTAGAATTCGAATCTACAAGGAATAAAAACATGTTTTTATAAATTATTTCAATAAACTCAATTGATAATGAATTCCTCAAAAATAATTTGATATATATAACTTAACATCTGAAAGAATATTGATTAAAAAGATTCTTTGCTACATGTGCAGTTGAATCGGTTTCTTGCCCTCATCGCCATCCTCAAGCCTTGTACACACTACACGAACTTAATTTGGATTAAGCAACGTTATTGATGTATTAACGTTTAAGTTATCTCGAAAAGATGGTTTAATCCTTAATGCACCAATCGCGTTGCTTAATTCAATTTGAATTAATTCTTCGCCTTGTAGTGTACAAGGCCTTACTGTTGTGCACAATACGTTTACTAAATGTGATGTTATGATTAAACTGCACATGCACTGACTAAGAAAATGGTCAATCTTCGATTATATTATAATTAAATAATAAATGGTATATCGGGTTTTATCAAATAGTAATAAATATAAAATAAAATAACTAGCGTTCTTGTTTTTATTTCTTAAGATCAACTAAGAAAAAGAATATTTTTTTATAGCAAAAAAGGTAACAAAAAGTTTCTTTTTTAAATTTTAGTAAAGTAATGTTCCATGATTGATGTTGGTATGATAATCTAGAAACAAACAAATAAAAACAAACGACTCAGAGAGCACAAGATGAGTTTACCTTCTAGTTGGCGCAATTCAATTTGAATACCACTTAGTTTCATTGATATGCTAGTAACTTCGTTAAATATAATTCCCCATTCCGTAGGCTCATCAATCACTGAACAGTTAAAGAGTTTTGTACGAGCTTGATTAAGTTGTTGAAGTGCATCTTTTTCTTGATTTTTCACTTGTAATAGCTATAAATATTTAAAAAAGATGTTTATATAACTACTGTTGGTGTATAGAAAAAAGAATTTCGATGGTTTCATCAGTACGAGACACGGAATATGAAAACGGATGAGCCGCTACATTCTGATTTCACGCTTTAATTTGATTGAAGAAGAGTGTACATTGTATTATTTGACAAAATATAAGTAAACATGTTTTTATATTCGTGTATAATCAGAAATTAATTCAACTTTATTTTAGATATTAAACAATCTTATCAATATTAGTTAATTTTTTTCTATTTCATCGATTCTTATTCTTAATTTTTTCTATTATACTAACTCAAAGTAATAATGTTAGCTATTTTTTATCTATTCCAACTCAATGATGTGAAACACAATCATTTTCATTTCATATATTTTGATTTACTTCAGTCTAGTAAAATTAATCTAATGTCATCATATATTTACAACAATTATCAAATATTATGAACTGAATGGATCTATATTTGTTTTTCTTTGTTATTCTAATTAAAATAAACTTATTCTAATAAAATGAAAGTATCATGACTAATAATTTTCTCGAAATGAACACCAACTAACCTTTTCAAGGAATGGATGAATGGCCACGGATAACGCTTTTTTTGACTTTTATTCTGGTAGATTACATTTACTCTCATTCTCTTTATATAGAGTCAATTCTATTCTTTTTTCATAATCAGTCATTTATTCTCATAATCAATGTCCGATAAAAAATATTATCGGTCATCACCAGCGAAGAAAAAAATTATTCATGCTTACAATTCGTCGTCGGACATGGCCGCCTTTTCATGAAAAATCAAACAATGAAGAGTACAGATGAGGAAATAATGACATTAGTGGAATATATTATATAAAAATTGCATGCTTGCGCAAATAAAATACCAATAAAAATGTTAATCGAAATCTATAAAAGTATAGCAATAACTATAGGAATACAACAGTCAATAATAACTTCGATCATACCGAAAATTATAATAATCATAACAATAGAAGCTATACCAACAGATATCCTAACAATATTTATAAATATATAATAATACCAACAAATATCTACCGATAGTTCTACTGATAAAATAAGAGCAATATTTATATGTTTAACGATTCAGATCACTGTATTGATTAGAATAACAAGAAAAGTTCTTATAACAACATAAATTCCAGTAACAATGATCGAACTTGCAACCCTAGATAAAATGATTTTATGTGTGTGCAAGAAAGTAACATGCACTATTTCTATTTTTCTTCTCTTCATACGCACATGGCGCTGTTTATCCTATTATTTTCAACTCTTCGACTGTTTACTATTTCAAAATGAATGCTAGATCAATATAAAACGCCAAAGTCTAAACAGATATAATGCATATTGCGGATGTGAGTGTCGGTGAAGAACGAGAAGGACCACATCCAGAGTCATTGCTCACTTTATTGAATTTAAGTAGTCAAAAAAACTCTAATTAGTGAAATTGATCAAGAAAATGAACAAAATTTTATTGATCGAACAACCAGTCATTTCATTAACACCATTAAAGAATTTTGATTCGATTTATAAAATAAATAAGGATTTAATTTTTCAAGAATAATAATCAACATCGAAGAACAACAGTCGATTAAGTTTACCAATAAAATCACGATAAAACCCTTCTCACTCTCGTTCTCATTGCGAAAATAAAACTACTGCTAATGAAAGAAATAGAATTATTGAAAAGATTTAAATAAAAAATCAATACGATCGGGATCAATTCAAGATAAATTTACATTACCAACTAATTCTCCAATAACAGTAACTATTGAGCCTCACAAATATAAATGATAATTAATAAAATGATAATTGTTTTCATGATGATCATATATGTTCACCTGAACATATTCATAATCTATCTCAATTAAGAACAACAAATGATTATTCATTAAAAAGTCCATCAACAATTGTTTCATATTTAATGGATCTTTTAAAGCCAAGTGGTAATAAATTAGCTTTAAAATTATTTGAAAGTCGAAAAGGTCTTATTAAAGAACGTTCAAGACAACAAAGAGCTAGAAATTGTATTATTCATCTTTGTTCAAATTTTCGGCAGATTTATTATTTATTATTATTATTTTTTGTTCAAATTTAATTATGTTAATATTATTAATAGCAAATGTTATTATTCTTCCAGTAGCAATCGTTCTTTTAGTGATGATATTCATTCAGCACGATGGATTAGTTTTGATGTTACTTCTGATGCTTTTTTTTTGTTTTTGATATTCATGTTAATTTTTGCAGGTAATTTTTTTTTTGTTCTTTTGAATTGGATCGTTTTTTTTGTACAGGTGTTTGTAGAAATGATTTTATTGAAGAAATAATTCTTGAACCACGTTTAATAGCAATTAATTATATAAAAACTTGGTTTATTCTTGATTTAGTTAGTTCGTTTCCAGTTGATTACTTTTTTTTATTATTTGATACGAGAGAAAATATTGAAGGATATCAATAGCACGTACAGGTCGAGATATAAAAGTTCTTCCACGTGTTAAATTACTTTCGTTACTTCGATCATCTCGTCTTGTCAGATATATACATCAATGAGAAGAGTTGAGCTATTATTTATGTTAATTTAAGTTATTTGAGGGCAGAATAGATCATCTGTATTACAATAGCGACATCGAGTTAGATATCGATGGTTAGAACTTTGCTTGGTCAATTTCCTACGAGTTCATCTTCCCGTCGGGATGATAAACTATTTTCGTTTGTGTTTATTCGATATCATCTCTATTTATTTATTTATCGCATGAATTTATTATTTAATTAATAATTAATTTCTATTTATTATGTTTTATTTTTGTTTTTATTTTGTCAATGTTTATTTTGACATTTGTCTTATTTAACTAAGTTCAATGCATGTCAATATCGATACCATATTAGAATATCCTATTTATATTAAATATAATTTCTGATAAAAAAAACAAAAGCACGATATTACAAAACGAATATCTGCATGAACATAATTCGAGGGGATAGGAGAATAAGATCTTCCTACCCAACCGATTTATTATTATTTCTTTCTTTTTGTTGTTCAGCTAGTCGATTAAAATAAATAAAAAGTAACGAAATATATTTTTAGTTTTTATCAGTAGCAAGTATGGTTATGCGTATTCTTAATTTACTAGCATTAATTATATTATTAGCACAGTGGAATGGGTGTTTACAATTTATGATTCCAATGTTTCAAAATTTTCCATCGGATTGTTGGGTTGCATTTATTGACCCTTAAAAATGCATCATGGACAGAACAATATACTGTTGCCCTATTTAAAGCTCTTCCACATATATATTTATTCCAATACTATCCATTCTATTTTCATTCTATGTCTATCAAATTCATTTATTTATTATTAATTAAATCAATATCGATTTAAGAATTTATTTTCTTTTCTAAATAAATTCGAATAAAATTATAGATTATTATTATTGTTCAATAAATAATTATTTAATGATATAATTGACTGGTTATATTTGATTCGAAAATTTCCATAGTTTTAAATAGTTTTGTTTTAATTTAATTGAAAATGAATTTGAACATATCATTTATTTACTTATTTAGCTAAGATTTTGCTAATTAACAACATTTATTTGACAAATAAAATAACTATATCAAGAATAAGAATATATTTAATAATAATAAAAATAAAATAAATATATTTAATGATTATAGATCTTGACTGTGTGATATATTTTTATGATGTCGTCTAATGTGTCTAGTTAGGAAAATAAAAAAAGATAAGAAAGATAATGTGCAGAATTCAATTTAAGAGTATAACAAAGATGAGACGATTCTATAAAACTGCATAGTCTATCCTTATTAGATTTATCAATAAAGCTCAAAAAAGAACAATCTGTCAAATATTATTACCGAACATTGTTTTATTTAAATTCAATATCGAATAATAGGATAGTATTATATAGTTAGCTATAAAACAAGGTAGTACTCATCCTACGGATTCGCTGATCCTTTTCTGAAAGACAACATCGAACATTCCTGGAGAATTTTTCGACAAGAAGATTTTCAATTTTAGTTTATACATCAGATATTTTTATGAATAAATTTATAATCTATTTCTTCATCAAGATAAGTGAATAGCAACACAATTTTTATATCTCAACTTTCGGTATGAATGTGGATATAAGCGGGTACGCAGAGAAGACTACCATCTATCCATACTCATCCTACGTCCCTGACCGACACTCACCCTATTCAAGACAACCCAACATCTACACCAACACCCACAATCAACCCAAAGTCTACACCCACACCCGAAAACATCTCATTGACTTAATTTGAAGCCTAAAAACCTGATCGATCAAAGACTAGATGGCAAAAATATCCGGTCGGCTGAATTTTCAGCTTGAAAAAATACGAAATGAGAAGCTTTTTGTTGGAGAAGCTATCTGAAATCTGATTTGTCAGGACAAAAAAACGTACATACACTTCTTCATCCAACACACTTTCTTTAAGTAAATGGAATATCGCACTACACAGAGCGGACAGTATTGACTGCTACATTTTACATCAATCACTACTTTTATATTCTAATACAAGAAACAGTAAGTAAGACACTTCAATGCATCTTCAAACAAAGTGCACAGTAAACTTTGCTATCTAGTAAAACGCCCGAAAACCGTTTCGGATAAGACTAAGGACAAGGGGCTTCTCTGAATGCATCACACGTTCAGATACAAGAGTCAGAATACCTTTAATAGCAGTCTAAAATAATTCAACAAAGATATTTGAGAATCCAGCTCCAGATTCGACTATATGACCTCAATAACCTAGAGCAAAGTCTCATCAAAAGCCCCAACAGCCTTGGCATGAAAATGCTCGTTTCTGATTGGTTGGGACAGATAGACAGAGAAACATACATATTTTCCAAATGTAAGACTCTTTCTTTCAGAAAAGAGAACTACTATGGATATAATCTATTTCTAGAGTAGTTTTGAACAATTTCTTAATTACAAATATGAAAGTAGCATTTTTACTTACAACTCAGGTCAAAACTGACCCGTTCTTAGTGAATAATAACATAAGAAATGGTTTTTCTAGAGTTATTTTATTTTAGACATAAACTCATAAGTAACATGATCTTCATGTTAAAAGCTTTATAAGTAATAGCTAGTCAAAAAGCATCCTACGATCGTTTTTAAATAGTTTCTTATCGATAAATGATAGAAACTTACAGCTTCTGTTATGAAATTTCTTCAGAACGAGATCTTAACAATAGAAATGGCTGATTTCGAATCGAAATCAAAATCAATAATTGAATATTATAAAAAGAAAATAAAGAGTAACGATGTCAACACGATCCAGAAAATGAAAGAACTGGTTTCAATTCGAAAATAGCCGTCTTTGCAATTATCTAATCATAAATCATTCCCCGAAATAATGATAAGTAAATTTTCGGCTTTGTACAGATAAAATAGCAATATAACTGCGAGAAAATTCAACAAAATCGAATTACTAATAAATTCAATTATCATGTCATTCAAGACGTATGATTCATTTATGGTCCATTCTTCATCTTCACAAAGAAGTGCGACTTCGCTCAAATATAATCATGTCAATGCCGCAATCAGCATCTGCATGATCTATTCTCATAGTTGACTCAACACTAACTCTACTGGATTTGTGTCAGAGGATAAAAGATTAATTATCAAGAATGTCTCAAAAAATTGTTCAAAATATAGTTATATTCAAGATACTTTGTCCTTTATATTGATGATTTCTTCTTTCTATACTATTACTACATCAAAACTTAACAATAAATTTGAATATTACAATCTAAAAAAAGCACGATTTAAATTGATGAAAGCATTCTTATCAATNAAATAAATAAAATATCTTTGAAATTGCGATAGTATCATATCAGATTGGCGATAAAGCAATGGATAATGTTTAAAATAACCGGGGACTAAATCGCGATTTATCGTAATAATCGCTAAAAATATCATTAAAAATCGGCGATTAATCGCGTTTCAGCTCACGATTATCGTTTCGATATATCGCGATTAATCAGCAATTTTTCAGCGATTTTTACGACATGGGATCGTTCGATATCGAGCTCCAAACTTGATTTCGAGTTCAGTAAATGTTGATTCTAGAGCAATTTTTTCAGATAGAATGTGAAACAATTTTGAAGAAGGTTTCCAAGACACATCTAGAAAAAGTTTCTTTTTCTTATCCATCGAGTTCAGATTTTTAAACAAACGACTAATAGCCAAATCTAATCTATAGTGAATCAATCAACATAAAAAAAAATGTGAGTATAACACATAATTGATTGAAACGACAAATATTGTCTTTGTAATAGTAAATTATATTCAGTTAGTTGAAAAGAATATCTACTTTACATGAAACTTGACTCTTTCATTTCTTGAAGACCATTTATAAAAGAAGTTCAGAAGAAGCGAGAAGGGATGATCATTACAAGACGAGCATTTCCCGACAAAGAGTATGACGAGAGCAGACACTGGCTTACTACGATTTGTTTGCAGTCTTTTGAAGCATCTTTCAATAGATTTACAAGTAAAATTGGTTTTTTGAGCAACATCGTCAAAAAAAAACAATCTAGCAGAATTATATGATGTATCATACATAAGCAAATGACGTATATGAAAGATATGTTAGTCGTTTGACGAAAGAAAGTCGTCGGTAAACGAAAGAAAATATTCAAAGAAGAAGGAGAGAAAAATAACAAAAAAGAATATGCCAACATGCATAATGGTAAATGGGAGAAATACCAAAGAAAAACACATAAATATCACTAGATTACAGATTCTATAAAATTTCATGAAATCAATGGAATCAATGAAGTCAGTATAGTCATAGGATCACCAGAATCATGAGAATCACTTAATATTACTTAGAGAATCAAAGAGATCAATGAAATCATTGAATTCCTTGGAATCAATAAAATCAAAATATATTCAGCGAAGTCAGCCTTCTCTATTATCATAACAATATTCTAAGCAGATAAACTTTATGTGTTATACTGATTTTGAGTGACTTTATTATACCTTCGAACAAATACGATGAGCGATCTTTAGTGATTACGAATGATTTCGAATGAGTTCGGGCGACTCAAAATGAGTTTTGTAGAGAAGAGGGAAAGGAGAAACAGCTGATTTCAAGATTTTACAGACAAAGTCTCTTCTGTTTCTTTCGCCTTCAGTAATTCTACTAGCTTCAACCCTTCAAAATGAACTATTTTCTCCTTGGTTTATTTTGATATTTTTTAAAGACCAAAAAACACATTATTTTATTCTTCTTTAGATGTATATTTATTGACAAAAAATGTCGACTTGAAATATATATAGATTAACTTGAAGAAGAATTAGAAGAAGAAACAAACTAATACAAAATTAACTGATAATAAACATAAAAAATTAGTCATGATTGTTGAACAACTTATACTTGATGTTGCTGTTGAAAAAAGCAAATAATCAAAAAACAAAAGTAAGTTTATGGCAAGAGTAAACGTAACAAATTTATTTCAAATTATTCAATAGGCTATAGGTAATAATCTTGAATGAGAATATCGAGAATTACATGAAAAACTTGAAGAAAATGAAGAATAGACTAAAGAAAAATCTTAAGCAATGCTTGGAGCAATTTGCAGCGAAAGTTCATTTACTTAAAGAACAATTGATGAAATTCAGTATGTTTGCAAATGGATACTTCAAATGAAAATGAATATTTTTTCTTTTTGTTATAGAGAAAAACAAAAGATTAATCGAACTATTCATATACTTAAAAAATGTCTTCGTGATGCGGCAATTCTTCTTGATGAATCTTGTGAACAAATCAATGCTTATAAAGAACAAGTAAAAGAATATCTGAATAATATTTATATTGAATATCTAAATTTTTTAATTGTTTTAATAGATGAAGAAAGTTAGTAGACAAGTACATAATATGAAACAATGATAAGAGGTACAAATAAAACAAACGAAATAATGTTATTAATGAAAAGCTTTACAAGAAAATGATTAGAATGAAGAAAAATTCAACATATCAATGAACTCGGTAAGAATTAGTTTTGTTTTTTCTTCTGCTAATTCTTAGAGCAGATTAATTTTAAAATATTGATTTGGAAACATAATCGTATTATGCTTTATTCTTTGCTTATCTAATCTTAAATCAGACGAAAACCAACTATATTCGATCTATTCTCACATTGAGTTAGCAAAATCAAATGTAGATAAAACGAATGAAATATTCAAATCATTTGTTTATCTTCTACATTTTATATATAGAATGTTTATTCTTTTAAATAAAAAGATCATTAGATAGATATCGGTGTTTAAGAAGAAAACAAAGAAATATTCATTATGGATTATTCACTTCTTCAATCTGACGTCATTTTCTTTCTATTCAAACAATTGCACGACACATGTATCGAGAGATATTCGATAGAGTGTTGTGGTTTATTCGTTTATGCATACTACACAATGAAATTCTTTTTTTTTTTTTATTCTCGTCCATAATTTATCTTTAGATTTCTTGTTATCCAAGGCAAGTTAGTTACTGATTCGAGGTTTTTTTTCACATCAATTCACACAATCACGTGTATCAACTAGAAAATGTTGTATATCGAATGCAACATGACGAACACATTCAAATATGTTCAATAATATTTTTATTCTAGATTATAGTCAAATGTTGTGTACAAATACAACAACCAAAGACAAATTCATATTCATCGTTCAATATATACAGTCTGTATTCGAAAAAAATGATTTTATTAAATCAGAAGATTCAGTAAAGAAAAATCAAAACTTTTATCGACATATTTTATTTTATTTTATTTTGTTAAAGACATATGTACCTGATTCTAAATCGATCTTAAATCATGCATGGATCGGTCGATATCAATATAATCATATTGATGTTCAAGTAGATGCACGACGAAGAAAAAATAATATTTTTTTGGCCGTTCAAGGAAAGAAAATATTTTGAAAAAAATACAATAATATAGATCTGAAAAAAATTTTAGAAGGAGAAAACAAGTCTGAGAAACCAAATAACCATTATCATTGATGAACATGTCAAAATGGTTGATGAAAAACTAAAGTAAGACGCTATTCTTTGTGAAAAAGTTTTTATATTCTCTTGTATAGCTTAGATAAACGAGAAAAATTGGATCATAGTTTAAATATGTTAATCAATGGATTCAAAAAAGACATTATCAATACAAGTTCTGGTGGTAATGGCAATCAATTACCATCACTTAGTAACACTCCACCATCTCCTGGTGAAGATATGCAACCAGCACAACGACAATCATTACCACCAATGTATTTTGGCGGTCCACGTGATCCTCCACCTCCACATATGATGCATCCTGAAAGTCTTCCTCCACCACAACCAGGTCAATTTGTTTATGATTTTTATGGAGCAGAACCACCATCTATGATGCATGGTCCACCACCTCCTCATCATCATCCACATATGGGTAATTTACTTGGTCCAGAACCATCACCTCATGCACGTGGTATGATGTTTATGCATGGATCATCAACACAACTGATGCCACGTACTTATTCACCACATACACATCATATTAATAATCCACAAAATCCAAATTCATCATCAATTGTTATATGTGGTTCATGTCATAAAAAAGTACAAGATAATGAAGAAACAGTATTTTGTGAATCAGGTTGTAAGTTTTTCTATCATCGAACATGTGTTGGATTAACAGAACAAGCCTTAAAAATGCTTAATCAAGAAAATTATGCCGAATGGGTATGCAATAAATGCTTTGCAGAAAAACATGTACCACCAGTTAAATTTATATCATGAATCTTTCGTGCTTGTTCTGTTTTTTTTTTCTTTTTATATGTTATTATCTGCTTGTATTATGTAAAATACTAAATGTCAACTCTATGTACATCTTATTTCATTTGATTCATTTATCATAAAGCTTAATATATATAATAAAGAAAATGATAAGAAATTTATTGATTATTTCAAATAGTTTGATCAAGTTGGACTTTGATATTAAAAAATAGAATACTTAATGATTGAAAATTTGCTTTCATTCACGTGTGTATTGTGAAAAACTAATCTGCCAATAAAATAAACATTTGTTTATTATGAAAGTAACTTTATGTTCTAGAAAAAGTCATATTTTTAATGTCATTTATCATGAACTAGAAGATAGTCATTTCATTTGATATGTTCATATATGAAAAAACATACACATACAGTTCAATAAAAATCACAGAACTCTGTTTATTTTTTTTTAATATTCGATATGTTGATGTCTAGTTTCGACATAGTAAATGAGACACACAGATCTTTTGTTTTTTTTTGTATCGTGATGTACAAATCTTCCGACATTTGCATCAATAGTTAAACAATAACGTCAATAACTTTCAAGTAAAATAATGTCACGAGGATTTAAAATAAATTATTGTAATCATTATTGATGATTTTATTATTCTCTCATTTAAAAAAAACATATATGTACAAAAAAAAACTTTGTTTGTTGTATAGTTCATATTCGATAATCCGTTTGATTAATATCAAATACTTCTAAAACAAATCGATCGACGATTTCAGTCGAATATGGAATACAAGTCATACTGCTTTCCAACTATCGTTGAAAATAATTTATACATACAGATGGAAGAAGTTTTACATTTGGATTATAAGCAATCATAGTATAAAACTCAGGTGCATGTTTTTGTGCAAGAAGGTTCAATGATTTAATAGTTGGTGATAGAAAACAAATATCTAATGATTCAAAACTAATTCTGATCATAGATGCACACACTAGATATTTGTTCTCATCAAATGCTAAATGAAATACAACGATTGTTGTGTCCCAAGCATGTACCATTTTATATACAGATGAAAATTGTTTTTTGTTGATTACGATTTTCGACAAAATAATGATTAAAATCATCTAACATTTTGAATATATCAATATATGAACGTTCTCGAAAGATTGCTGATCCATAAGCGAAAAGAAAAAGATTGAGTGTAACATAAAGACTATTTGCATGTTGAAGATTACAAGAAAGACGATCAGCATATGATAGCAACCATTGTGCACTAGGTCTAGATCGAGCTGAATTGGGAACACATTGAAGAACAATCTTTCGTCATAGAGAACGATATTCATAAGGACTTGGATTATGTATTTTCAGTTGTTCAAGAAAATTATCATATATTGAATCTCAAAAAAATTATTTTGATCAATTGATTTTGTATAATTATAAAAGCTCATTCGATCTTCGACCTTGAATAAGATTCTATGTAAATTGTACTTGAAATTCTAATTTTATTCCTATATCTCCTGATTTGTTTTGTTTTTGATCTCTTTCCATTATATCATGGTAATTCATTATTGTTCTTGTATCATTCAAAATATTTTTTTTCATTATTTGAGCTTGCTCATAGTGACAACAAACTTAACCAATCCGAGGCGATTTGATTTTACAGAGTTTCGAAAAAAATTCTTGGAAAAGAAGCAGCTCAGATATAAAGAGTTGTAAAACTAACCTTTATATTAAATAAAAGTCCGTCGAAAACGGACTTCGACGGTCAAAGTGATAACTCATTATGTAATAATAGATTATATAATCACAGACAGTTTCGAACTTTTCAAAGTAAAACTGTTATGCTCCTACGATTAATCAGTCATAAAAACAGATATTTCTTAGAAAATTTTGTCGTCTAGCAGATTTTGTAGAGCTATCTGCGCTCATCATTTTGGTAAAAAATTATTTTAAATTTGTCTTAGAAATGACAATATTTGAATCAAAATACTGAAAAATCTCAAATAACTCTCTCTACTAAAGCTACAACGTTTTTCAGTATTTTCATGCAAATGTCGTCATTCCTGAGTCAAACTTAAAATATTTTTTTTACTAAAATAATCAACGGAGATACCTCTACAAAAATCTGCTAGGCGACGAACTTTTCTTAGGATCTATTACCTAGAGGGCTGCAGGGTGCAGGATTTTTATAACCTGTAACCTGCCCTGTAAATTTTTTGTAACCTGATCCTGCCCTGCCCTGTGAATATTTTTGCGGACCCTGCCCTAAAACTTTCTAATGNAACTTAAATATATTCTGATTTCAATCCTGTAATAGAAAAATACTTAATAAGATTTGCAAGTCAAGTCGAAATGTGTTATGCTACATTTATTTATTTTTCTATAACAAAAACTTACGTTCACTTTCAGGAAAATGAATAATTTAGACAAAAGACAACACAATATTTTCTAATTTTTTTTTTTGTTGTTAAAGATTGATGATATTTAATTTTGTCCTGTTTTTCTATTTTCAGCGTTTTACTGAGAGATCTGATGAGTAATTTTCAAAAAAAGCTACAAGAAGTCTTGCCAAAAGTCTCTATGTACTTTTTTAAAAGCAAATCAATAAGATACATCGAACTTAGCTGCTAAAATGAAGAGTTTCTGTCATCGATATATTTATGTAACTAGAAATGAGTTGGTCAAGTGACATTCATATTAAAAATTATCATCCCTTTTGTCAATTTACCGCACCACAGTTGAAACAATATCAATTCTCCAAAGTTTTATGCAAGCCAAAAAAGTTTTGTTTCAGAAGCGCGATGAACATTTTTGTAGAGCAATACATTCTGTATCAAATTCATACAAATTCAGACAGCAAAACTCTGTTTAGAGATATTTCTAGTTAATAGGTTATTATAATTTTGTTAATCACGTTGAAATGAATGTAATAGCTTGAAATATAAATCGAGAACATTTTTCAAAAAGTTATATTACAAAAGAAACCTCAATGAATAGAAGAAATATGTACAGAGGGCAGCAATAATCTTATCGAATGATAACTTCATTCGTTCTTGTGATATAACATTAATAGCACGTATAGAATCGCTTCTCATTTTCATCAAATTGAACTGTTTGATTTATTAAAAATTTCAAACCGAAATGATTCGATCAGTGCTACTGTTCATGTTTCATCTATGACAAGAATGACGATGGACGACATAAAACACGATTGGCTCTTGATGAGACATATTTCGTTGTGTTTTGTTTTTATTCTAAGATAGCAATCTCTTTGGAATCTTTTTTCGCGTGTGTTGCACTAGTTTTGCAATGGCTGCTAAAAAATTTATCGAGAACACAAATAAAGGATGAAAAAGAAACTTAATAGAATCTTTGGTCATTTTCTGACGGAAAGAAATTATGTGATTTAAGAATCATAATGCGTGATGAGAATGGAGGATGTGGATACCGATATCTTCTTTTTGCTCACACATTCATATTCTTCGTTATTATCTATCTTACATTTACAATATATAAAGACTTTCAATGGATAAGATGAATTATTAAGAGCGATACAAAATTTTTTATACAACTTTATATTTCTGAAATCATAATCAGCCTAATATTCAAATCTTAAATTTACAAAAAAATACGAAAATCGTTTCTTTGAAAATATTATGTTTCGTCATTCATTTCTATTTCTTCGAATATAAATCTGAGTACAATGAATGCAAATATTAGTTTTTATTCATGTTATTGGTAATAGCTGGATGAAAGATTTAAAATTTAAAAATATCTATGGCATTGTAAAATATCAGAGTAAAAGACTTATACAATGCAACTAATCTTCATTTGCAAATAATATCAAGAGACACTGACGATTGAATCAGTACACACTAAGCTAGAGATAATTGAATTGTTTGTCATCAATAATAGTTCGAAGCGTTGTTCACTTTTTTTAGATTTAAAAGTATCATTCTTAACAGAAAATATGGAGACCAGTTTGAAGATTGATTTGAAAGATCATCTAACGATGAGATGAATTCATTATTGAAATTTTTTTAAAAATAAATCTTCATGAAAAATCTTCTCAAATATTTGTTTTTTTCAAGATGGAATTTAAAAGACGCCTATAACAGTGCTAGACTTATCTTGTTGTAATGCAGAATTTTTCAAAATTTCTTAAAAAATAAATTTCATCATTATCATCTTATTATCAGATATTTTACTTCAAGATCATTGTCAGAAACTTTTAACACGATGATCAGTTTTTTTGAAAAAGAATGAAATCTTTTAGTAGAGACATATTAATATCAAAACATTTTTGCATACATCATGACAGATATTTTTTCTGCCGAGATAACTTAATATATAAAAAAGCATCTTATTTCTCCAACTGTTCTTTATATGCTGCATGCTTAATGAGTTCACACATTTTTGTCTATTCCGAATAGAAGAAATAAAACAGTTGTAAAGTAAATATAAAATGTTTGATATTCGCAAAGAAATAAGTACTTCTCTTGAAAACTAATGTTCAATATGTCCTTTTTATCTTTTTTCTTCAAAAAAAAAAGAGAAGGATACCTACAAAGAACAAAAAAAAATCCAAAAAGAAATAATGCATTTACATAATAGAAAATTATACCACTGTATGGTTTTTCTTGAGCAACGTCACAAATAAAAAACAGTTTATATTCTTTTCATTTTTTCTTCATCTCTTTTGATTGAATCTTCTCCAACCTCATCATTACTCACAATCATTAAAAGTTTTTTTATCGTTTGTAAAGCATTATTCACTTGTTGTTGGTTTCCTTGGATATTAACAATACGCTTTCGTCTTTCACCATTATCATCACTTAAATCACCTATGCTAACAATGGCACCAGTTTCACGTTGTAATTGTTGAATTCGTTCACCTTTTGGTCCTAATAAAGCACCAGCTTGCATATCTGTAATTGGAAGTGTTTGACGGATTGAAACAGGCATAAGAACACGATCAAAATGTTGTTGAGAAGAAGATGATGATGATGATGATGCAATAGATGCAGCAGACGTTTGAAAAGAATGGGTCATGGGTAGAGAAATTAAAGAATTTGCTCTATTCGTATCGTTGTTGATCGATGAATGATTTTGAGTTGGAATATCTGAATAGCCACCATAGAGATGAGTTTTTGATCTGTTATAATTGACTGGATTGTAAGGATTATATCCGATCGGCGCGGCTGAAAAACACAAATGACAACTACCAATATAGCAAAGTTTTAATCAACAGATTAAACTAGACAAGAAGTCATTCAAAAATAAAATTTCCCCATTTTTCAAAATTAATATAACGATTATAAAACAAAACAAAAATACTGAACTACTTATAATTGTTTACTATAAAAACATTTTTCTTTTCGATGTTCACTTTTATGTAAAAGAAAGGAAGATGTCATTGCCAATACGAGCTGTATAAAAAAGCAAATGATGAAAAATAAAAATTATCTCTAGCGAACATAAAAATGATCATAGTAATAGCTATCAATATAATTAAATAATCGAAACAACAGATTCTTTTACAATTGAATAGAATTTCAAAAACATCGCTCTCTCGTTGTGATATTACCTTGTTGACTACAAATAGTATAAATTTCTTCTAAACATGATAAAATTTTTGTTGAATCTTTGCAAATAATTCTTATCACACGTTCACTCGATTGTGGACAACATTCTTGAGCAGGTTGCAGTAAAATAAGACTATAGTCAATGCGCATGTGCTGTGCTTGTGTACCAATCGATGGCAAACATGTTTGATCGATAAGAATACGAACTTCTTCATCATTTCCTAAAAGATCACTAAGTAAATCAAATGGACAAACAAGAATACATTCAGGTTTTTGACAATCAATTCTTGTTATTAAATCATCATAAAAAAATACATCTGATACATATCGATCATGTGGAACAAGTAATCGACATTTTGTATTCGTTTTATTAAATGCACGGAATTGTTGTTGAGGATTAGACAATTTTAATAATTGTAATTCGCCTTCAAGTTGTCGAGCACGATCAAAATCAAACGTAAATTCTGCATGTCGTAATGTATTTAAACTTGATTCGATCTGTGCTAATTTTGTTGATGATGATAATAGATGATCATTAGTATTTTGTTCATTTAAAAGACTAACTATTGTTGAATGAAAACGATTTATTTGTTCATAAGCATCATTTAATTGTGAAAGAGATGTTTCATGAGCTTTATTAATTTGATCAAGCATTTGTGAACGCCATTGACGAAGAGTTTGTCGACATGTATCATAACTTGTGTCGAGCAATGACAATGAATCAAGTTGAAGACGAGCTGCACGGGTACGAGATATCAAAGTTGAACGACGCTTTTCAAGTAATTCTTCAGGTGTTAATCGTTTTATTTCGCTCATAGAGCTCATTGAAAACAATCTAAAGAAAAAAGAAATGTTATAACGTCCTAGAAACACTCAATATTGATTTATTTGTATTTTAATATATTGCATCTGTACAAAATTCATGTAATGACTGATACTATCTGAATATAAAATAAGATAAATATATCTTTTAAAGATACCATTAGCTACAAATAGAATATAGTTAAATCGACTTTTATCAGAATATTTTATATACATTGAGTGAAAACTCTTGATTAAGCCCCCCCCCCCCCCCAAAAATCCATCCCACCCCACGAAAACCCCAATTACGTAGAACTTCCCGCAAAAGTCTGGCGC